TGACATTTATAGAAGTTGCAACAATGTATCTATTTGTTTCCATTTAGGATACAGATGTTTTTATTCGGAAACAAATAGATACAATGTTTCAACCGCTGTAAATGTCAAGGAACTGTCAGAGAACTGTCAGAAATAGCGGAGCTCTCTGCAGAGACACTTTTTGCTGGACTGGAATTCTTCTTATTTCCATCCTACTTCTTCTTCTTCTTATTCTTCTTCTTCTTCTTCATCCTCATCCTCCTCTTCTTCTTCTTCATCCTCATCCTCTTCTTCTTCTTCTTCATCCTCATCCTCTTCTTCTTCATCCTCATCTTCTTCTTCTTCTTTTTCTTCATCCTCATCCTCTTCTTCTTCTTCATCATCCTCATCCTCTTCTTCTTCATCCTCCTCCTCCTCCTCTTCTTCTTCTTCATCCTCATCCTCTTCTTCTTCTTCTTCATCCTCATCCTCTTCTTCTTCTTCTTCCTCTTCTTCATCCTCATCCTCTTCTTCTTCCTCATCCTCATCCTCTTCTTCTTCATCATCCTCATCCTCTTCTTCTTCATCATCATCCTCATCCTCTTTCTTCTTCCTCTTCTTCTTCTTCATCCTCATCTTCTTCATCCTCTTCTTCATCCTCATCCTCTTCTTCTTCTTCTTCATCTTCATCCTCTTCTTCTTCTTCATCCTCTTCTTCCTCTTCATCCTCTTCTTCATCCTCTTCCTCTTCTTCTTTTTCTTCTTTTTGTCTTCCTCTTGCAGGTCACTGCTCATGCGCAGATTTTTTATCGGTAAAAAATCGGCCGATTTGCCCACTAATTGCCGCGAAAATCGGCCGATCGGCAAAATCGGCCGATTTTTTTCCAACTTTACCGAAAAACAAAAACGGCCAAAATACCGAAAAAACGGCCGACCAAATCGCCCACTAACGATCCGAAAATCGGCCGATTTTATTTTCCGGCCGAAAAATCGGCCGATTTTCGACCCGTCTATGGCCTGCATTACCGTGTGTGAAGGTTTTTAAAAATTGAAAAAAAAGGCATGTGGGGGGAGGGGGGGATGATAAGTTGCACTTTTACTCCACATGGCTGGAGTTCTGTATTAAAATACAATAATAATGTAGTAAAATCTCACACATTTTATTTTTTTTTTTAAACAATGGATTCTAAACTACTAAATTAACATTCCCAAGCATATAATTTGATGTATATAGATACAACATTTACTATACACCACCACTGACTCTAGATTACATGGTGCTGCTTCCCCGAACTTCCGGTCCAGGAATGTGACCTGACAGCGTGGGCTGCAGCTGCTGTCAGTCACTCAGTTGGAGGAGGGAGGAGGAGGGGAGTGGTATGTGGTTGTAGCGCCCTCTAGTGCACATAGGTGTTTAGAGTAGATGCTTGCTAGAAACCTGGGATTAGATAGAAGGTTACTTCAGGTCAGGGTTGGAGGGCTCCACAGGTTAGTCTTCTGGTGCCTCCCCCTGCTCTAGAAACATGGAGAAGCTTCTAGAAGCCAGTAGGCAGAGGTGATGAAGAGCTGATCTGCATATTTATAGGAGTCTGACCAATCCCAGGCAGGAGGCCAGGTGTGTGGCAGACCAGTCCATAAATATGACAGAGCCTAGCCAGCAGGGGAGTCGGGAGGAAGATGGGGTGTTGAGAGGTGCTGCTGTGTAGCAGACAGGTGAACTGGAATAGAGGGGAAATCTTCCACAGGGGACACTAGTCCTGGTGACAACCAGGAATTCTCTCATTTTGGAAGGATATCCTCTCACTTCCTGTTTTGAGTATGGGACAGGAAGTGAAAGGAAATCTCTCTAATGGGACAAATATGGGAAAAAACTGACCGGGTTATAACCCTCCCTTACTACATCCAAAATTGTAAAACGTTTACCTTTAGTTGCACAATATTATCACTGGAAGTGCCTTGTCCAGAGTGGTGAGGGGTTTGAACCTCGGGCAGATATTAATACTTGTGAATCAATAAATAAGTGAGCGCTTTCTAAAGACGAGCAGCTAGAACACATAGGACAACCAAAAAATCCTCACATAGAACTGAATAAAAAAGTGCAGCGCTAGAAAATAAATAGATAAAATAAATGAATAGTCAATATACTTGATAGGTACTCCAAAGTCAATACAAAGTCCCAAAAAGGAATGGACGGCTTCAGACGTCCATACACACAGATCATGATGTATATACAGTGGTAAAGATGCAGTTGAAGATGGGTAGATGTGATCCCCGGATCAATGAAGATCCCCAGGTCTAAGAAGCATACGTTCCCAAGATAATAAGGAAGCAGTCACAGCTACACCAAAGGAAACCACCACTCCTTCACTTTACATCCACGATATCTAAGAGGAGAAACTCCTTCTGAGCCTATTATACAGGCTTAATAAACGTTTGGTTCACATATCCTGGAACCTACTAGAATTGCTTCAGTATATGATGGATGCTGGCTGTATCTTCTGTACAGGAAGGGATGGGAAATTGAAACTATTAGGCTTTGTTCACATGTGTGGCTGTGGGGCAGTTTTGAGTGATAAAACACCTACACACTGCCTGTCTAATGTTTTTAAGAGTGATCTTAATGTGGATTGCTCTTCGGAGAGAACAGTAAGTGTAATCTAGCCCTAACTCTATCCAAAATGAAAACAAAAATGTGTTGCTTTTGGTTCTATTTTAAAACAGATATGTAAGTAGCTACATCTCAAAAATGTATCAAAAACCATAATTATTATTATACAGTATTTATATAGCGCCAACAGTTTACTCAGCGTTTTACAATATAATGGGTGACAGTACATGAGACAGTACAGTAACAATACAATACAATACACGAGGGGTTCGAGGGTCCTGCTCCTTGGAGCTTACAATTTAGGAGGGAGGGGAGAGTGATACAGGAGGAAATAGCTGTGGGGGATGGAATGGTAGGAAGTGTGGAGGAGATCGGCAATTAGGTGAGGGTGGAGTAGGCTTCCCTGAAGAGATGGATTTTCAGAGTGCGCCTAAAGGTGAGGAGGGAAGGTGACAGTCTGTTGGATTGGGGTAGTGAGTTCCAGAGGATGGGGGAAGCCCTGGAGAAGTCCTGGAGATGGGCATGGGAGGAGGTGACTAGGGAACTGGAGAGTAGGAGGTCTTGTGAGGAGCAGAGAGTGCGTTTTAGGTGGTAGATGGATATCAGGTCGGTGAGGTTGTTTGGGGCAGTGTTATGAACAGCTTTGTACGTCAATGTTAGTAATTTGAATTTTATGCGTTGGGCAGTTGGAAGCCAGTTGAGTAATTGGCAGTGAGGGGTGGCGGATACGGAGCAGTTAGTAAGGTGGATGAGTCTGGCTGCAGAATTCAGGATAAAATGAAGCGGGGATAGCCTGTGTTGGGGTAGGCCATCAAGGAGGGAGTTACAGTAGTCAAGTCGTGATATGATGAGGGAGTGGATGAGTTGCTTAGTCGTTTCCGGGGTTAGGAACGGACGTATTTTGGAGATGTTATGGAGGTGGAGTCTGCATGAGTTTGTCAGCGATTGGACCTGGGGCTGGAAGGACAGTTTGGAGTCTAGAATGACACCCAGTACTCTGGCTTGCGGGGTGGGACTGATGGTTGGCCATAATGTATTCTTGTCCATATAAAGACAATGCTGTGACAGGAAACTACAGTAATACCTCGGTTTAAGAAAGCCTCGGTTAAAGTAATTTTCGGTTTACAAATGAAAATCCACTGAAAATAATGCCTCGGTTTATAAATTTTGTATAAATTTTTTTCGCAATACAAAGTGTATGTTAGTGCTGATTTTTAAATGCAATTTCTTCACTATAGCTCACAGAATTAGCTGTCACTTTCCCCAAAGTTAATGGAAATTACCCCCCCCCCTTTCCTGACCTGCCAGGCTGCATGCTCTGAAAAGGGTCTGGTATGGATTTTTGGGGGGGGACTCCCTCACCATTTTGTTTTAAATTTTGGTGTGGGAGTTCCCCTCAAAATCCATACCAGACACGAAGGGCTTGGTATGGATGGAAGGGGGACCCCATGCAGTTTTTTAAATGATTTTTTTAATTGCCAGCAATTCTTTTACTTTCAGCTGTCAGTGGGGAACCCCGCTGACATTAAAATATTAACACATGGTTGTCACTACTAAAATGCCGCATGACTTAATAAAATAACTCATGCAGTATTTATTAGTGTTTACTTTTTTCTGATCTCCGGAACAGATTAATTGGTTTTCAGTGCATTCCTATGGGAAACGGCGTTTCGGTTTAAGAATCTTTCGCTATAAGAAAAGTCCTGCAGAACTAATTAAATTCTTAAACCGAGGTATCACTGTATATAAATATAGGCAGCATCGGCACTGCAGCTGCTCCAGAACTACAAATCCCATGAGGCATTGCATAATGCTGACAACTGAAGGCATGATGGGAATTGTAGTTTTAGCACAATTTTCAAGTAATACATTTCCGTATTTATTATGTGGAGGACCGCTATACAACAATATCCCAGAGCAGCTACATCACCCTGACAACCAAGTCAGCCTCTCCTCCCAATTAACTATGCAGCTAGCTTGGCCACGTGTCCCGAGCTCCGCCCAGTAACGCTGCGTTCCATCGTAACGTGCGTTTCAACCGCCTAATAACGCTGCGTTTCAGCCCAACATGCGTTCAACCCGCCCTGCAACGCTGCGTTTCATCCCAGCGTGCGTACCAGGTAGTCCTGCCCCTTACGCCCTAGAGCATGCGGCGTGTGGCTGAAGAGCGGTGCATTGTGGGAGCCCCTTCCTTTTTCGGTCCCCGGCCATCTTGAGCTGCACCTCTGGTGAGTGGGGCTCCGGCTGGTGAGGGATTTGTCCGGGCGGGGAGCCCCGGAGAGGGTGTCGGTCATGTCGTGGGGGCAGGGCAGATTGGGCGCCGTGTAACGGTGTGTTGTTGTGTCTCCTCAGGTCTGGGATCCCCGCACAGCAAACATGGTGGCCGCCAAGAAGACGGTGAGTGAGGCCTGCGCTCTCACGTGGAGGCCTGTATGGGGCTCGTCCTGCTGGCTCCCCTCAGGATGGTCCTCTGTCCGGGAGCGGGGGACAGGAAGAGGCTGGGGGTTGTGTACATAGTGGACCGGGGAGGCCTGTCACCGGAGACTTCCCACCCCCCTGTCATAGGAGCCCCCCCCCGGTACATATTGCTCATCAGATGATATCTCACCATCGCCTAGTGTCATATATATATATATATATTCCCTCCCCACCCTGACAGGATGGAACTTCTTCCCCTCCCCCGTTTGGGCCTCATCTTCCTCTCCATCCCCCTATTATAGCTCGTTCACACTTGTGGGCCCCCTCTGAAAGGTGAACCATGGTGGATTGCTTTTCAGATGGCAGTTGAAGTGCTGATCTCACAGCCTGTCCCACCGTCTGCCTGAAAAGTCTGCACCATCCCAGTACATTGCAGCCTGGCCCTGTTTGCTTGAATCCGTTGCATTCGGCGTCCTGCCAGCTTAAGAAGACAGGGGGCGTAGTTTTTGCACGGCATGTGTACAGCCCCCTTTGCCTGCTTTAGGCTAGGTTCAGGCTTGTGTGGGTCAGGACTGCTTGTGAAATCACACTTTCCCAACCTGTAGTCCTTTAATGGCACCCCCAGGCTTTATCAAATGCTCTGTCTTCATGCCTGCCATCTTTATTTGTTACAGGGACTTGTACAGTGCGGGCAGCACAGGGGCTAAATGGTTAGCATGTCCACCTGGCAGTAATAGGGTTGTTGGTTCGAATCCCGGCACCACCTGCCTGGAGTTTGCATGTTCTCCCTGTGCCTGCGTGGGTTTTTCCTCACACACTCCAAAGACATGCTGGTAGGTTAATTGGCTCCTGTCTAAATTGGCCCTAATATGTATGTATGAATGTGAGTTAGGGACCTTAGATTGTACACCCCTTGAGGGTTAGGGACTGATGTGAATGTACAATATATATGTAAAAGCGCTGCGTAAATTGACTGCGCCATATAAGTACCTGGAATAAATAATAAATATACGCAGCACTTCACATATATTGTACATTCACATCAGTCCCTAACCCTCAAGGGGCGTACAATCTAAGGTCCCTAACTTACATTCATACATACACATATTAGGGCCAATTTAGACAGGAACCAATTAACTTACCAGCATGTCTTTGCAGTGTAGGAGGAAAGGAAGTACCCGGCGGAAACCCATACAGGCACAGGGAGAACATGCAAACTCCAGGCAGGTGGTGCCGAGGTTGGGATTCAAGCCAACAACCCTAGTACTGCCAGGTGCTAACTACTTAGCTGCTGTGCTACCCTAAGTTGCATGGTGCTTTGTGATTTAAAGGGGAAGTTTGCCCTTTGGGAAAAAATAAATGCACATAATTTTGTAGAAACAAATGCAGTATATTTCCCCCCCCCAGGAGCCTGGGAAGCACTGCCCTTGTGATCAGGGGTGTAATGGCAGACTCCTGCAGACAAGCTCTGCAGCTTTCATCTCCTACCTTCATACTAGCTGACTGTTTACAAGCTGCAGGGCTTGTGAATGAACTTTGAGAAGGCTCATCAGCATCCCTGTAGTCCATTCAGAACCACAAGCCACAGAGGCTAATGGCATTGTATTTTTCTGACTGTTTTTCACTAGTTTTGCATTTGGCTAGGGTCAGTGTCACTACTGGTAGCGTGAGGCGATACCTGGACCCTACAGAGGTTGCACAGGCAGTCCAACTCCTTCAGGATGGCACATCAATACGTTCCATTGCCAGAAGGTTTGCTGTGTCTCCCAGTAGAGTCTCAAGAGCATGGAGGAGATTCCAGGAGGAATGCAGTTACTCTAAGGAGAGCTGGACAGGGCCATAGAAGGTCCTTAACCCATCAGAAGGACCAGTAGCTGCTCCATTGTGCAAGCAGGAACAGGATGAGCACTGCCAGAGCCCTACATAATGACCAAACAATCAGAAACAGAGGGTGCCAATAGGGCCCAACATGCTCTAGTGGGCCTTATGCTCACTGCCCGGCATCACAGAGCTCGATTGGCAGTTGCCATTGAACAGCAGAATTGGCAGGTCCGCCACTGGCGCCCTATGCTTTTCACCCTGAGCATATATGACAAACGTGAAAGGGTCTGGAGAACATTATGCTGCCTGCAACATCATTCAGCATGACTGTTTTAGTGGTGGTGGGTGAGTGATGGTCTGGGGAGGCATATCCATGGAGGGACACACAGAACTCCACAGGCTAAAAAAATGGCACCCTGATTGCCATTAGGTATCAGGATGAAATCCTTGGACCTATTGTCAGACCCTACACTGGTACAGTGAGTCCTGGGTTCCTCCTGGTGCACGACAATGTCCGGCCTCATGTGGCCCCCACGCTCACCTGACCTATTGCTATTAGAACACCTCTGGAATATCATGTTTCGGTCCATCTGACGCCAGGCAGAGCTCATCCTGTTCCTGCTTGCACAATGGAGCAGATACCGGTCCTTCTCATTGGTTAAGGACCTTCTATGGCCCTGTCCAGCTCTCCTTAGAGTAACTGCACTCCGGTTTCCTCCCACAATGCAAACCATTCCTGTTTTGGGGGTCCTCTCATTGTTGCCCATCTAGTGCACCTGTTGTTAATTTCATTAACACCAAGGCAGCTGAAACTGATTAATAACCCCCTCTGCTAGCTAACTGACCAGATCATTATCCCAGGAGGTTCATTGACTTGATGCTACAGTATACTCTAATTAAAAAGTGTTCCTTTCATGTTTTTGAGTGCCTGCACTTGATTGGATGTGACCGCAAAAAAGTGTTCCAATGTGTTTGCCCCCCCCTCCCCCCCCATATTTTTTTTTTTCTTTTTATTTGTCTGACTATAAATCTGTTTGTCCTAACCACAATTGAATCCACATTATGTTGACTGATTCATTACCTCTGCTAGATATCTATTCCAAGTGTCAAATACCAAGTGTCAGTAAAATAATACTTTCTCTGGTTGGTTATGAACTTTTGCTCCTTCTACTTTGAGGTCTTGTCCCTGTGTTCTTGGTCTTAATATTGAACATACTGCCCTCCTGAACCTTATTCATCCCCTTCATTTATGTGAAAAGAACTTGGCTATGTGTACAGTTTTATATGTGTATGTAAGTTGGTGGAAACGTCTGTTTTTTTCCATGAAGGCGTACTTTCTCAGGTCTCTGAATATGGCAAGAATCCTGTTTCTTATCCATTTTATAACTAATTTTAGTTATTTTGTTCTACATTATAGAAAAAGTCCCTGGAGTCTATTAACTCAAGGCTTCAACTTGTAATGAAAAGTGGCAAATATGTCCTGGGTTACAAGCAGACTTTGAAAAGAATCCGCGAGGGCAAGGCCAAACTGGTCATCCTCGCTAACAACTGTCCTGCTCTGAGGTGAGTGGATTCTTATTCTCTATAAATATTCAGCTGTCATGCCAGTATGGGAAGGCTAACAATAAACATGTTATTGGGTTTGTACCATGTAATAACAAATACAGCTTATTTTACCATGTGGAAGTGTTTCCAAATGCTGCTTTGTGTTGACACACCTCCATAGACCCAGTCTGCCTGGACAGTATGGTTACCTGATGACAGGCCACTGACCTCAGGCAGGGTAATGCTGCCTGTTGACAGAAGTTGAATCCAACACAATATTACTGATCACAAATGCAGTACAGATGTTTTTCCAGTCTCTTTAAAGTGGTAGTAAAGTCTTTGTTTAAAATCCAATGACAGGCAGAGATATTATAACGTAAGAGATCCTGGTGGTCTCTTCTATCATAAATACCTCCCCACCTGTCAGTGGGTGATGTGATCTGAGCCGCACATGCGCAGCTCAGATCACATTTGCGGTCCGCTGTGTGTTGCTAAAATGTGACTCATGCGCGGCAGTGACATCACAGGAGGCTGACCAGTACTGAACTTAGAAGGAACACAAAGATGGAAATGCTAAGGGAGCCGTGACAGCGCTGCACTGTGGAGGGCTCTGTTTGCAGGTACGTCTGTCATAATGTGCTACTATATGGTGCATACTAGTACATTATAACTTAAACCTGGGGGGGCAGGGGGGCCAGTAGTTTTTTTTTTTTTTTTTTTTTTTTTTTTTTTTTTTTTTTTTTTTTTGATGGCTTTATTAATGCCTTAAGTGTGAGAAGATAATTTTCCTAAGCCCTGTCTCTGCGAAGAGATAACATTTGACTAAGGGAACAAAGGAAAAAAAACAAGGAGGATCTATCTAGGGCTTAACTAGCACTAAACAGTTGGGGAACTGAGGGAGATACCAAATCACACAAGTAAATAAGGTGTAATGGCCCTACAGACAACAGAAAAAAATATGTACAGGTGGGACAGAACTGGAAGACTCTACAAACCGGTCATGTAAGTTGGGGGGAGAATATCTAAAATACATTTCTTAATGGTTATGTGAACTCGCACTGTTTCATCTGCACCTCTAACGGACTGCCTGCAATCCTTATGATTTCATGAGATTTCAGAGTAGGACATTTTAGGAACCAGGAAGCCAGTAGTCTTGAAAAGTGCCTAACTGGATCTTCTGTTGCAATGGATTGGTCAGCCTGTCTTGGAATGAAAACATAAATTTGTCCACCTTTTTGTTTTGACTTTTGCTCTAAAATAATGGAGACTACTTGTAGCAAACCAAAGGTTTGGTCTTGCAGAACCTTTCACATTCCCAGGTTGGTGTGGGGCCACAATGTGTTTTTCACCTGGCGATCCTGCCTGTAACACACTTTGTCCTAGTATGACCACACTCACTGTACTGTATCTGTAGTAAAGCAGTGTTATCATCCTGGAATTGGACTACAAAATGCCTTCCCCTGTAACTGAGAACTGTGCAGCACAGGCAGAGCGCACAAGATGTTTTTGGCTTTCAGTATTTCTGGCAGGATAAACAGATTGTGGTCTTTGCACTTATTGAACTGAGAAAACGCCTTCAATAGTAATATTTATATACTAAATGGGAGTGAATAAAGTTAATTCAGAGGGTTTACATGCATACACTACTCCTCTGTTTTTGAGTAGGCATGTTTGTCATGGCTGTTTTTACATTTATTGGCCAAAAGACCACCCTTGACCATAAAGGGATCTGATTTTTCTTTGGGCATCCCTGGTGGTGGTTCTCATTGGACAGTGGATGCTGGAAGGGTTTAGCCATAAAGGCAGAAAAGGTCTGGCCCCTAACAACTGAGTGAACACAGATACAACACCTCCTGCACTTAGGGACCCAGATCAGTAGAGGGCTGATGGATCAATAGTATAGGGGTGTATGAAAGTTCGTCCCAGACCGATCAAAGGCTGTGCAGCTCCAATACATAGCTGAGGAAGCTTGATACAAACTAGCGGAGAACAAAAACAGCGCACCAACCTTGCGCATTACCTCAGTAAACAGTAGATTTATTGATTTAGGAGAGATACTCACAAAAGTAGTACTAAAACAGGCATATAAAATCAAAAATCTCATCCTACAATAGGAGACACATGGGAATCCCATCTGAAGGGGAAGTTCTCAGAGTGATGTTGACGCGTTTCGAAGGGGGGGGTCCCTTCCTCATCAGAACTCAACTGAGGAAAGGGAACAGTTTAGATGCTAGCTATCACCTTATATCTGACACAAGAGTGTGTTTTAAGGGCCTATTTGCACTAAAGAATTGCATTGTGATAATGCACACATGGTAAATTGTGCTGTGCCAAGTGTTAAGGTGGCTTGTTCATTATGAATGGGCTGCCATAGCCACACCACAACGAACAAAAAACAAACATGAGCCCTTTTTTCCCCAAACGCAGTGCACAGTCAATGCACAGTAGTTACATAAAACACAGCACCCTAACCTTGGAATAGAAGAACCAGGTTTTTTGCAGAATGCCTGTAGTAAGTGCTTCTTATTTTCAGAAATGTTGATTGAGGCATGCTCCCATAGTACAGGGTGGGCTCTGTAGGTTGCTGGGTCCTGCGTTGTTATGGGGATTTCTTTATTGTTTGGGTATGCATACTCCAGGCACATGGGGTTTTGGCACTCCCAAGGCAGTGTTTTGTGATCACTGCTCAGCTGGGGAAGTGTACAGCTGTTTCTATCCTGGAGTGTTTTTTGTTTGTTTTAATACCGTTTTTTTTTTTCATGTGGAAGTTTTTAATGTACTGTGTTCCTCCTCCACAGGAAATCAGAGATTGAATACTATGCAATGTTGGCAAAGACTGGAGTCCACCACTACAGCGGCAACAACATTGAACTTGGTACAGCCTGCGGTAAATACTACAGAGTGTGCACACTGGCTATTATTGATCCAGGTATGTACCAACCACTTATCTCCATGGCCTCTGGATGTAGGCAGCTTCCTATATGCGAATATATTCTCGCTGGATTGATCTGCCGGTGATCAGTTCAGGCTAGACGTTCGCTAGAATAAAACTAGTCTTGTGTCCTCAGCACTGGTCCTTCCTACAGTTCTGATCTTAAAAGCTAGTTACATGTGAGACCTCATTTCATATGAGCTGAAAGCTATAAAAACTTGTCAGAAAAGTGCCCATTCGCACCTATGCATGTGCGTTATCTTGTCTCTAGTGGATGCTGCCATTGACGTGCTTCATTTGCTGACCCACATGGATTTTTAGTTGTCCTCAGCAGAGCTGCCATTGATCTCACTGCTTTTCATCAAAGTTTTTTTTATAATGTGACATGTAACACATTGCAGGTGTCTAGACACCATTGAAAGCAAGATGACCTATATCAATTCTGTCATGCTATAAAGTGGTATTAGACCCAACACAAAATATACATTGTAGCTTACCAATCATTAGATGTAGTGGATACATTAGTTCCCTTTTTTAGGCTTTCTTTCATCTGGTGACTTGACCAGTAACGCACATTCGATATTGGAGCACCCCCCCCCCGCTCTGGATTAAGGAGTACAGGGGCACCTTTGAACAGCAGCATTGCCAGTCTGGGGGGAGGGAAGTGTCAGATGGAGTTCAGCTTCAATTTGTTAGTGCATATAAATCTGCTAGTGCGCCTAACACTATAAGCAGTTACAGCCCCATTTGTTTCCTTTTAGGATACAGGTTTTACATACCCTGTCAGTAGTAAATGGTTTGTAAAACCCTGTATTAGCTACATTTCATCAGGTGAAAATATAAATATTAAAAAAAAGAAAACAAATGCTGCCATCACATCTAAGAATTGCTAAGCTGCAATATGTTTGCTTTTGGGGGGTTAATACCACTTTAAGGCAGCCCAGAAAAGAAGCTGAGTGACTGCATTCATAATGACCCCCACCCCCTATGAAGCACTGTGACAAAATAAACCCTGCCCCTGACACTTTCCTAATTGTGTGCCTGGAGGGATATTTGTCTCCTCTTCAATACTTAGACATGTGCAAAGCTGTCTCAGTTGGCTGCCCAGGTTTTCAAATACACAAACTTCTGCTTTTCAAAAGACAAAATGACATTACCATGTTGCCTATTTGCTCTATAAATATCTTTCCAGTGTATTTTTTTTCTCTTTCCTGGAATGTTATATTGTATAGATGCGAACAGGTCCTTCCTGTGTACATGCTTTTTGCACTTTTTAAATTAGTTTATATATAGATGTGTTTACACGCATGCTTTTCAGTTTTTGAGGATTTGTGTTTACGGAACATGTGGTCTCAGCAGTCAATGTTGCTGTGTAAAATAATTGCCCATTACACTTGGTGTATATACACCATGAAGTTGTGTGGGATACAATGTGTCAGCACACCTGACAGGAATATACCTCCCCTACTACCTGCATCACCGTTCACTGCACCGTTGCCAGATTAAGTTTCTTTACAAACTTCAGGGTGTCTCTGTGTCCCTTCATTGTACTCTCTGGTTCTTCCCACTGATCCTCCAGCTGGTGATTTTTTCTCTCCAGTAAAGTGGCACAAAGACCAGGAGAGCGATTTTATAGGGTTGGGTTTTTTTGACACCTTCAGTTTCTTTTCTGTTTACTAGCATTTATATAGCACCATCAATTTAAGTAGGGATTTATATATTGTATATGTAAAGAATAGATGTATATTAAGGATGTGTTTTATGTATTGAACATTCACCTCAATTCCCTGACCTCTAGGAGCTCGCAGTCTAAGGTCCCTATTTTGCCCGGATGGGCACAAACGATAAGACCAATTTAGACAAGAGCCAATTAATTTACCAACATGTCTTTGGAGTGTGGGAGACAACTAGAGGCATGGTGCTTGCGTGAGTTTCCTCCAGGTACTCCAGTGTCCTTGCTGGAATTCACACTAGGAACCCGTTGGAACCTAGAGCTTCATAGCCTTGGTGGTACTCTAGTTTGTCCACTTATTTTATGAAAAGTGTACAAAATGAGAACCACAACTATTATCCAGAATTGGATAATTGCTATTTCTTTTAGCTGAACTGTCATTGGACATGCAGTTGATATTAAGGCTTCACTTGTGCAGTGTTAGCAATGACTGTGTTGGTGTGACATGTTCATAAGTTAATTGTCAGTCTGCATTCTGTACTTAGGACATCTTTTTGTCTTGCAGGTGATTCCGATATCATTAGAAGCATGCCAGAACAGCAGCCCAGTGAGAAGTAAATTTCTGCATCAAATTGTTAATAAATGACTGGTTTCCCAGATATGTCTTTGTGGTTTATCTGTGATGGTGTACTACTTGCAGTGTGACATTTTTCCTGTTTAGAGGTGGAATATTCTGTCGATTCTATAACCCCTGGTTTACATATATGCGACTGTGCGGGCCGTGTTTTGCACGGGCACGAGAGCCCATTCATTTGAATGGACTCCCGTGCCCGGACACGCAGGGACACGCAGGGAAGAAGTCCCTGCACTTCTTTGGAAAAACGCAGCCAGCACAGGAACTTTGGTTCCCAGTACGATTGTTTTCCAGTGCGGGCAGCGTGCCATTAGAACTAATGGTACCCGTCTGCGGGTCCGCATTTCTCTGTGCGGGCTGAACGGATTTTCGTGCGGATATCCACATCGGCATCACCCGCACATATGTGAACCTAGGGTTTATAGTTTTCTGTGAGAGCTGGATCCAACTTTTTTAAAAGGTCATACCTAGATAATTCTACCTCATGAAGTTACAGTGTGATGTAAATATAACTACATATGGTGGAGCATGAGGGATGTGTTTTTACAGCACTTACTGTGTAGAACAAACTGCACCTTTTTGGTCCAATTCACACATTGTGCAGTGACAGACTTTGTACTGCAATGTAAAGTGTCTGTCACCACAAGGACACATACAAAACAATTGTTTCCTCTTTGTCCCATTCACATTGCAATGCAGCCTGGGGCTGTGCTAAAATGCTATTTTATTGCAGCTAGCTGTACCGAATCGCATGGCATAGCAGTGCATTGTGCTGCGGTGTAGTGCCATGAATGAAGTGTACGTTGTGTACACTTTAAATAACGTTTGTCCAAAACAAAAAGGTAGCCATGTGATGTACTGAATCACACACCACACTGTCCCCTGCTACAGCCAGGAACAGACAGCTGCCAGGGAGGTAAATCGTTTCGGAAGCTGCCCATTCCTCTGTATACCCAGTCTAAGAGATTGGTCTTTTACTTACTAGCCTTTCATTGTAACAATAAAAAGTCACCCTGCACAACAGAAAGCAGCAGTGACTGGTGTTTGTTACAGGAAGCTCTTGTTTCATGCTGAATTACCGCACAGGTCTGGAAGAAGTACGTAAAGGACTTACAAATTGTGCTAAAATGAGTTGCTGTCCCTAACCTCCTTCAGAGAGAGTGCTAGTTGCCTGGCTATGCTGCTGTTTACACTGTGTACATTGTTGGTCACTGACCCTGGAGCAAGCATTAGGAAAAGGCAGATTCCTAATTTTGCAACCTTTAGAATAGTTGTTTCTAAAGTCATTAAGCCATTTCATCAGTGCGACAACCAGGATACTGAAATTTTCAGCAATGACCGCTCTTATGTTTTTATGAACTTTCCATTTTCTACTAAATGACCGGGCTGTAGTGGATTTTCCTAAAAATCAGGAAAATAGAGTTTTTTTTGCTTTTAGCTGCCACCAGTATAGGAAGTGAGATGACAATCTCATCAGCAGCTAATTTAACCACAAGGTTTTACCCCTTCCATGACGAGGCATTTTTTTTTTCTTTCGCTGGCAATTGCATGGTCATGCAACACTACCCAAATGAAATTTTAATTCTTTTCACACAGCTTACTTTTGGTGATATTTGATCACCACTGGTTTTTCTATTATATAAATGAAAAAAGACTGAACTATTTGGAAAACAATATTTTCTACTTTCTGTTATAAAACATCCAATAAAATAAAAATCACGTTTTTTTCATAAATGTAGGCCAAAATGTATTCTGCTGTCTTTGGTGAAAATGAAAAAAAAACTCCCAATAAGTGTATTCAAGTTGGTTTGTGCGAACGTTATAGCGTCTATAAACTATGGTGTATATATACTGGAGTGTATGCAGCTATAGATGCTATACTGTAATGGGCGGTGATCAGCGACTTAAAGTGGGACTGTAATAGAGTGCCGTGCAATCTGGCGCTAACAAACTATCTGGGAGGGTCAATAACAGACTGAATGTGCTAGGCACATGTATACAGTATCACTGCATTTGTGTCACTAACCATGTCTAATATGTGCTGCTTTTACTTTACTATCTGGCTGTGAAGAAACCGCTAGATTGCTGTTCCTATGCATAAACATCACCTGATTTCAGTCAGTCATTGGCTGAAATCTGCTGCCAAACCTGCCCAAAATACAGGTCTGTACCTGCTGCTCGCTCGCAGCATATTTACTGTGAGCGGTCAGCAGATGGTTAATCACTTCATGCAGCTTCTTCATCTTTTAATCCTTGCATATGTTCCAGTTTAAAACTGATGCTATGACCACTGCCTATGGCTTCCTGTTGCAGAGTGGCTCCTTATTCTTGCAGCATCCTATGGGGCCACCCTTGCAATGTAAGCACTAGAATTGGATCTCCGTACTCTGCATAAATAGAAACACATCCCCACAGCCTAGGGAGGCAAGGCCCTTCCCTGCTACTCTATTCTCCAAGCTAACAGGCTTGAAAATGCAATGTTATCGCTTTCCGGTGAACAATGGACATACCGCTGACCACAGGAGCCAGCAGCACTGAAAGTTGTAAATTGCAAGTGCTGGAGTACAAGTCTGAACAGTTTATTGGGAATTTATTTTATTGTGATCAATGCGTTAAATGAAAAACTGAGGGTTTAATGCTAAAAGAATATAGCTATAGGCCTGCTTGATGCATCCAATTCAGTGCTCGTGTTATTTGCAGCTTTACTGTAAGCTATTGTATAATGTTGGTGTGTTGAGTGGTGTTATGTTCTTGGTGGTATAAATGCTTTTCTAATGCCAAAAAGCCAATGTAGCTTCATACTGTGCTCCAGCAATTAGCTGTGGAGAGCCTTTCATAGGTCTGAAGCCAGCTATGAGCGAGTCGACTCACTAGATGAAGGATTTTGTTTGTGGTCAAGCCAAGACCATTTCAACTTGCTGATGGTAGTCATACATAATTGGCATGGATAGAGGAATCTTCCCTGCCAGCTCTTAATTCAGACAGTGGCAATGACACTACTGAGCTTGTTATTAAAATCCAATTTTTTTTTTTTTTTTTTTTTTCTTCCATAGAATTGTAAAAGGGTCATCACCTCTGGCAGGTTTTGATGCTGTGCTTCTGCTATGGGGATGTCCCCTTACTTCCTCTTCCCATGATGCCCTGTAACACTGATACCCTGGGTATCGCCAGGACCAGATGTAAAAGGAAATCTCCCCACTCTGGAGACAGGCAGTAACAATCACTGTAACCCTTAGCCACTAACAAAAAAAAATTTGTGGTTTTAATATATCAGCTTACAACAAGCAAATTAAATGATTTTAAAAAGACAAAACATTACACAATTTTAATATTTATATTTTAAAAAAACAAAGTGACGTGAGCTTTAATATTTTAAATGCCAAATTTAGACTTGGTCCATAAAAAAGTTTAGTGTTTTCCCTCTTGTGTCCCCTAGAAATTCACATATAAAATTCTCATTTACTGAATTGGCACAAAATACTTTTGTATATTTTTTCTGGACTGAAATTCAAAATAATATAAATAAAATACATTTCTGATTGTCCAGAGCATGGCATTTCTTCTCAATGAAGGTTCCTTGTGCTGTGTTTTCACTGAGCTCAGTGAAATTCAAGTCTGTTATCGTTGTCCGACACGGTTCTCCAACATCTCCATTCGCCTTGTGATTTGCTCTAGTGAGTTTATGTCAAGGAAGGAAATAAAAACAGGAATGAATCTACATTTTCTCGGTTAAAGGATCCTTCCACCTAAGCCTAGGTTCACATATGCGGAGCGGGAAACGCAGCAAATCCTGTGCGCTTCCTGCACTGCATCCAAATTTCACTGTTCATGTGATCTACTGCAGGTGCGATCCGATTCCAGTGCAGCAAAAAACAACTTGCCTGCACCTTTTTCGTGCAGGTGGGGTATGATATGAGCCATACAATGAGGGGTTCCCATTCTCATAAAAACAGAAGTTCCACTCATTTTACTCCTTCCCTCTGCCATTAATGGAAATTTAAATTTTTTCTTTTCAAGGAGCAGTTAGCTAGTTTGGAAAGGTACCGGCTTCCATTTACAGTTTGCCCCCCTCCCTCCCTGCCTGCAACCTCCCATGACAGGTCCCAGGAAGCTGTAAGTCCATTCAGAAAGTACAGTAGGAAGTCACAGCTGAATTCCTACTCAAGATGGCAGTGATGAACTGGCCTGGGTGAGGACAGTTCTGGATCCCTAGGCTGATGAGGACCCATTTGTTAAGTCAGCAGCTACAGTATTTAGGAGGCAGGTTTGGAGCATGTACACGTTACACTCACAAATTTGAGGGTAATGTTTAACCTCAGAAAGGGAAGTGTATTCCTTAATTTGAATAGACTGCCAATGCATGGCAATGGAATAGGAAGTGGACCTGCACTTTTTTTTTTCCTTACACACACTCTGTGGGTGTGTTGCAGTACAGATCCATTGGCAACTACTGTACTGAGTGCTGGGGTGTCATTATAATTGGTACCCTAATTTTCCCAGCCCAAAATTTTATACATGAATGGCACTTGGTGTTGGTTTCATGGTAATGTGTTGTAAAAAGTGTTTTATTGTGAAGGGGGTGTATAACATACAGTGCTACTGGTTCATTCAAAATGAATGGCACCACAACACACACTTGTGCTCTGCAATCTATAAGTGTGAATGGGCTCTTAGTAGTGTCCATCTGTACAGCTGGGAAAGTATGACTTGTCTATCCAGGTGAAATTGGATTTTATTTTAACCTTACTGTACACCAAAATCACTTCTGGGTGAAACACACTGTTCCTCTGTGCTGCAGTGTTAACATACACATTAACATACATATCACTATAATGCATATTAACACGTGTTGCAGTGTCATCCAGTTTAGCACACTGAGTCGTCTTAGCACGATGGGGAATTCATATGGTACCCTCAACACACTGACGGCTTGTTTTACACTTGCAGTCCAGGGACAGTAAAAATAGGTAGTTAAACCACATTTTCACCACCCTCAAAGTGTTACTAAACCCATGACCCTGCATTCATCATCAGGTCTGGTCTTCCACAGTACACACAACATGGAAATGCAATTAATTTAGTTAATATAAACTGCTAAATACCTTTTTCTTATCAGCAATATATATGTCGTGTGACTTCTATCAGTGTCCAGCTGAGAACTGGTCGATCTTGTAGGAGTTTTCATTCTCTTCTGACTTTCCTATGAGGCTGCATAACCCCTGACCCTTTGGACAGAGTGATTGGCCCTGGGCCGATCACATGCACCCTCCCAAGACGAAAAATAAAAACCCATCTACAGCAATACACACCATACTGAGCATGAGCAGCGTGCCCCCCAAGGCTCTGTTCTATCAGCAGATAGACTCGGGACAGTAGAAAGGGAGGATCAGAGAAGACAGGATCAGCGGTTTTACACAATGCAGAGGATTAACCCCTTAGGTTCCACAGTGAGTATAACAAGCATGCTTTACTGCATATACAGACTGATTTTACTGTTGTGAGTTTAACACTTTAAACTCCATAGCAGCTGGATGAGGTCGTACACCTGCCATGGTAAAAATGTCTCCTGTTGCATTCGGTGACCCATTCAAGTGAATGGGGGACAGCACACATTAGTGTGGTGGTACAGGCTTTACAAGGTTAAAATGGGTGGTGAGGAGATGATACCAGCACAGATTGCTTTTCAGAGGGGTAGCAAGGTATGACTAAAGTGTAAGCTTTGTCTTAAGCTGGCCATACATTATACGAGGGACATTCAAGACCAACCGGGACTTTTAATTTTACAGGCGTAAAAAGGGATGCTAGCATATGGTGGTACTACTGCATGTGTCCTATTACTGATAGGCGGTGCATGTGTTCTGGGCCAGTCTACAGACTGTTAATCACGATGGCAGACAACAGTGTTAGTGTGTGCATGGAACAGGGTGTGTGTGCATGGAACAGTGTGTGTGTGCATGGAACAGCGTGTGGTGATGAAGTTTCTTGTGAACAAAGGCGCAAAATCCACAGATATCTCCAGAAGACTTCCAGTACAGTACGGTGATGAGTCGCTCAGCTGCAGTAAGACATCTGCATGCTGTAAATGTTTCAAAGATGGCCGTGTGTCTGTCAGTTCCCAGCCCACAGCAGTCATTCCTGTGAACATTCAGCGCATGGAATGCCTGATCCTGGATAATCCACGCAAAATCTGTTGGGAAGTTGTACAAGAAACAAATCTTTCTGTGGGAACTGTGAACACGATGATGAAGTGAAGCAGGCTGTCCTAGGACGGTTCAAGCGTTTCCAATGTGTTATTTCTTTTTACTCAAAAGTCTCGGTTTGACTTGAACGCCACTCGTACAATTGTTTTATTCAATTTCCTTTAGATTTACCTTCAACTATGCAGTGCAAGGGCCTGTCTGATTGCATACAAAAAAGTGTTTAGGTTTGATCGAGGAAAGTTTTCCTTCTCCCCCCTTTGAATTTTCCTGCCGCTGCTGGCAAAAATGAACATTAATTTGACCCCACAAATGATTAGAAAATCAAATGAATATTCTAAAAATGAAAATTCACAAATGGAAATCAATACGTTTATGGCCAGCTTTAAGCAACCATGTATTGTGTGGTGTAACAATGCATTGTAATACAGTACCGTGCTTTGTGGTGCTGTGTAACAGAAAAAAAGGCTATGTGTACGGTTTGTGGTCTGCTCCTCTGCACTGGCAGCCTATTTAAAATGAATGAAGGCAACACAAATTAAAGTGGTTGTAATGGCTCAAGGTTTTTTTACCTTCATGCATTTTATACATGTGTTTTGTGTTTCTGTTTTTTCTCTATAATATCTATAATTGTCTATAATATCACTTTAACACACGACACAGCGCACATTCAAATGCACAGAAGCGAACAAGTGCAATGGGCCCCTGCTCTTTGTGAAAGGATATATTGATGACTTAGCCGCTTGAGTTCTTCATTTGCATTGTTCTGAGAATCCAGTATATTCTTACACTGGCACTGCTCCTCAGATATTTCTAGGACAATAAAACATAAAAAAAAAAAAGCATATATAAAATTCAATTCATCAACATAAAATCTGCAATACGTACAGTAGGAGCTTGTGCCCAAACAGTTGATGGGCCCCCATTCAATCACATGCCCATGTACAACCACTCATTTTACTGTGTATAGATAGATTTAGGTGAAAAGTAACCTTTGCAATAACTGTCATAGGGCCAGTTCACACCACATGCAGTCCAGTGCGTTTTTTTCTGAATCAAAAACACATTGATGGTAGGTTACATGGTTTCCAATGTCATAGTTCACACCAGTGGGGTCAGTTTCAGTGCATTCCAGTTCCAGAAAAAAAAGCAGAACATGCTGCATTTTTCTGCACTAAACTGTACTGGAACGCAGTAAAACGCAGTGGAAATGCACCAGAAATGCATCAAAACTGCACCGGAAAAAAGTTTTTTTAAGTTGCAGAAAAAAGGGGAAAAAAACGGAACGCATCAAAAACGCACTGGAACATGTAAAAAAATGCATCAAAAACACGCATACAGAAACACATCTGGACTGCATTTCTATGGAGTGAACCGGACCATAGTCCATAACATACAATTTGGTTGAGACACACGTTTAAAAAATTAAAAGTCAGCAGCTAAAAATACTGTAGCTGCTGACGTTTAATAAAAGGAAACTTACCTGTCCAAGGATCCAGCGTGGCCAGTTCTTTGCTGGTGGTTAGGTGCATTGTGGCTTCACAGCTGACTTTCCTTTGTGCAGGCATGAGCAGTGCTGCGCTGTGTGAATGGTCCCACAGCCTCTTGGGACCTGGGCTGTGTCCCAAGAAGTTGCAGGGAGGGAGGAGGCCAAACTTCCAGTGGAATCGCCGAATTCAACCAGAGTACCTGACAAAAGTGGGTATTTGCTCTCACCCCTCAAAATGCCCAAATGTGTTAGAGGGCATAGAGTGGAACTTCCCCCTTTAGGGTGACGTTCTGCTTTAAGGGCATAAGGTAAAAGCTCCTGGCGATCTCTTGGATATGTCAGAAACATAGGCCACTATGAAGAATACCTTCCCCTTCTGTCCCACCATACACATCAACAGTACCCAAATCTATGTGACGGGGCGGAGGTACATGGCATTCACATGACTTGCATTTCAAGTAAACCAACCCGTAAATGGCTGTATGGGGTTAATACCTGTAATGATAGTATAAAGTATATAGATTTATTTTTTTCACATGCCTTTCTTTAAAATTTTCACAGCTCCGGGACACATAGGCTCTGCATTGGGGGCTATGGATTGGTCCCTGTAAAACTTGGTGAGTTTAGTCCAGTGTGAAAAAAATAGTACAGGCCTGTTAAAATGTGCCGCCACCCCTCTAAAAAGAAATCTGTGGTGAATCACTTTTCAGAGGGCATCTGACAAGCATGTTAAAATGTTAGCACTTTGTACTGCAAATCAAGATTTCACTGGAAGATGGAGCTGGAGGTAAACTGTAGATCTGCTCCAAGGATCTGCAAAGGGAAGAGGACCCTTCTACCTTTCCATATACAGTAGAAGGGTCTCTCAAACAGACAACAGGTTTCCCATACACCTGGAAATCCCAGCCAATATCGGTAAAAGGTATTTCCCAACTGGCCAGTTATATTTCCTAAAAGATCCCGGAAAAGTTGCCGGTGAAGCAAGTCCATTTGATTAAAGTAGAATTAAGATCAAACTATAAAGTGACATATTGATAGAGGTTGTTTATACCAGTATGGCCAGGCTTTCTATTTTTCTAAATACCCCCTGGAACTTTTTATAATTGCCTCTTAATTCTGCCAGAATAAACATTTACTTTAGAAGGTGACTACGCTCTTCCTCAAGCAGAAAAATTGCAAAGTTGTCACCTTTGATGCTGCTGTAGCTGCTTAGATGTTGGCACAGCTGAAAACTATCAATGAATAGTCATGCCTAGCTCTGCCCCCACACCCCTTTACACTGGCAGCACATTGTCTGCAGGGACCTAGAGAATTGATAAAAAGTATTGCTCAGTCCCTCTAGCACTGTCTAGGGAGCAGGAAAAATCTAACTTCCTAGCTGCATTTGTTATAAAAAAAAAAGAGTTAAATAACATTTTTTAAAGACATTTCCAACACCAACTTACATTAAAAATGCCAGTTTATAAGAAGAAAAATGTAGAGGCTTTAGATATGATTTTTATATCAGGTGCACCTGGGAGACCTGACTAAGCTGCATTCCCTGATATAGTGTATAATAGACAAAATATGGAGATCAACAATTACATAGAACCTCACCTTCTGCTTGTGTAGTGAATTTTATGGCAGACATGGAGCAGGAGACTGTGATTTCACTATTTTCTTTGAACTCAGAAGTTAATTCTGAAAGATAGAAATGTTTCAATAGTATGACATCCAACAATCTGCCAATTATAATTGTATGACATTTGACAATCATAATTATTGTACGACATCTGCCAATCGCAAGAATTGTACAACATCTATTAGTCATATTAATTGTATATGCTAATCATAATTGTTTGACTTCTGTTAATCATAATTGTTTGACATCATAATAAATGTTTGACATTTGAGAATCATAACAATTGTTTGACATCTGACAATCATAATAATTGTATGACATTTTCCAGTCATAATAATTGTTTGGCACCTGATAATCATAACAAACCATATGACATAAGCCAATTCTAATAATTGTATCATATCTGCCAATCATAATAGTCGTTTCGACATCTGACAATCATAAAACTTGTTCAACATCTGCCAATCATAATAATTGTATGACATCTGACAATCATAACAAACCGTATTACAAAAGCCAACCATAATAACTATGATATCTGCCAATCATAATAATTGTTCGACATCTGACAATTATATAATTTGTTTGACATCTGCCAATCATAATAATTGTATGACATCTGACAATCATAACAAACCGTATGACAAAAGCCAACCATAATAACTATATCTGCCAATCATAAAATTTGTTCGACATCTGCCAATCATAATAATTGTATGACATCTGACAATCACAACAAACCGTATGACAAAAGCCATCCATAATAACTGTATGATATCTGCCAATCATAGTTACATAGTTAGTCTGTCTGAAAAAAGACAAAAGTCCATCCAGTTCAACCATAAAAAAATCATAATAATTGTTTGACATCTGAAAATCATAATAATTATTTGACATCTGACAGTCATAATATTCCAATATTGTTTGACATCTGACAAACTGAAAATCATAATAATTGGATGAAATTTGACTCCACAGAGTTCTTTCTTCAGCACTTTATTGTTCTCAAAATATAACACACAGACCAATAGAAGAACAATTGGTGATCAATCATACCAAAAACAGCAGATTTTGACCAGATTTTGAAAATTGCAAAAAATATCTATTTATGTTTATGGAAAATTAAAGTGTATCTCGAGGAAAAACAAGGAAGGCTTAGAACTCCTGTCAAGTTTTTATTGCTGTCTGAGTCCATTACAGCACAGTGTTGTCTTATCCTAGGAGGATTTGGCTTTACATATACATAGATCTATACTGGACAAGGGTGTGTTTCCCTACGCACCATCTGGCCAAATGATGAATCGAAGATATATAACCTTTATTCAAATGCATAAAAAAAAAGAAAAAGTATGCTCAGCTGTAATTAATGCCTGTTGGAGTGGAATGTACTGCGCACAACAATATGACTGCATACCATTGCAATTATTTACCTTACATCCAAATGGTTAATAACACCAGACCAAATCAAATACCATATCGTTTTAGATGAAGTGACGGCATAAAAAGAGGCACTGTAGTTTGATCATAACCTATCAGCTTGAATATATAATTTCTATTAAGAAAATGGAGTTACCCCATGGATAAAACTAATTAGATAGTATAATCTCTCTTGCTACAGATATGTAATACAGGTACACTCATGCACGGCTTAAATGTCAGCCTCTCATGGATAAGCCCCATACATCACCATATCCAAACAAAAATACCTCACTGTCTTGAGGAATGCATATGATGCACTGTAAAACACAGTACAGACCTCTCCAAAAAAAGGGGGAGAGGAGTGAATACCATGTGCATTCAAAAAGTGCTCCCAAAGAAAGACACAAAGAAAAAAAGAAACTACATGTTTTGCTCCAGAAAACAGCTTCATGAGGAGTAGTACATACACATAGCACAGCATTCACCTTCATTAGATATTTCAGTGTTCACCTTCCAGTTGGTCCAACCTGAAGAACAAATAAGTGTTAGTCATTAATTATCTGCAAGCATGACATTTTTTCTCATTTTCTGGTATCTGTACATTTAGAATGGGATGGCTTCATGAAAGGAAGTAAGTTCTGTCTGTCAATGTCAGTCACTGTATGACGTTCTCATTTACAGTCCTAAAGGGAACCTGTAAGGTTAGGCAGATGATTGCTGTCATTGCCGGATTGTTTTTTAAAGCTCACCTTCAGGTACACCTCTTGTGACAGCAGGTAAAGGTTAGAACCTTTTTTAAATTTGTATTGCTGTCTCTGTTCCGTCAAGGAGATTTCCCCCACTTCATGTCCCCAGTGACAGCGAGTCAGAAAAACAAGAAGTGACGAGTAATCTCTAAGGCCTCATGTACACTACTGCTCCTATATGTGGGTTTAGGAGCTTTTGGCGTTTTTTTGCCAAAGCCCCTGAACTCAACTCAATAAAAGCCTATGGGGTTAATTTAACAAAGCTGGAGAATGCAAAATCAGACTCACTTCTGCATAGAAACCAATCAGCTTCCAGGTTTTATTGCCAAAGCTTAACTGAACAAGCTGAGGTTAGAATCTGATCGATTTCTATGCAGAAGTGAGCCTGAATTTTTCACTCTCCAGCTTTAGTAAATAAACCCCAGTGTGTTCACGTACATATAGGCTTTTACCAGAGTTTAGGAGAAGCAGACTTCATGAGCAGTTACATGTTCCTCTCCTGAATGCAGAAGAATCCTGTTCAGGACAGGAACGTTTTGGCCAAAAAACGTGTGCAAATACTCCTAAACACTAGCTGCATTTATTCATGTCAATGGAAAATACTCTGGCCAATCAAATGAATAAACGTCCAAGCGTTAAACATGGTAAAGTGTTTTGTGTTTTTCTGCTGCCAGGAGAGCTAAACGTCTAAGGCAGTTCATGTGTACATGTAGCCGAAATAAAGATGGAGACGTCAACAAAGCATCTTTTTAGCAGTAGGAAAGGGTTAGAGATTTTTTTATTGTTTTCTGTTCATTCCTGTCCCTGGGACCCTGTTTCCTGATTTCTTGTATTAAAAAACACACTTGGGCAAATTGCAGCCCCAGGGCCACATCTGGCCCTATGGCTTTCCCTATCCAGCCCTCATTGCCTCCACTGTTAGCATGTCTCTCAGAGGCACACTGACAGAAGTCCATGTGGAGAGCTGAAAGAACTAGAAGGAGAAAGCTTAGGAGCGGGTATTGTGGGGAGGCTCAGTTCTACCCAGCCATGTTCATCTTGTGTTTGTCCTACAAACCCCAGGAGCCATGCACCTGTTCTTCACTCCAGGTTAGGATCTGCAGATATTCCCGCTGTAACGATTTCAGGCTCTCTTCTTCCAGTCCTTTTCAGAGGGTATTAAGCACAGGCAATGTAGAGGTGTTATATCACCTCCACACTGCCTGATCCAGTGTATTGCATGCAGTTGTAGTGCAGCCCTATTGAACTTAATGGGTGAGTTTGACAAGCTGTACCGCTTGGAAATCACTGTAGCAGGCACCACTACTACAATACATCAAGAGAAAAAAGCAAAACCAGTGCTCAGGTCTTTAAGCATCCCAAGAACACGGGTACAGTCACTCGCTGAAGTGCGGCCCTCTAAAGATCGGGGAATCTTGATACTACTGGAAGAAAACAAAAAAGAGCATACTGTCCTCGTGCATTACCGTGATAAAGGATTTATTGAAAATGACACAATTATATACTCACAAACCAAGGGTCAATGTAAACAAACAAGGAACCAATGTGACAGTCCCAGCAAATAGTGGTCTTGCGACAGGGTATGCTAACGTGTTTCGGGAGACGAACTCTGAGGAAGGGAGTTCATCTCCCGAAACGCGTTAGCTTACCCTGTCGCAAGACCACTATTTGCTGGGTCGGTCACATTGGTTCCTTGTTTGTTTACATGACCCTTGGTTTGTGAGTATATACTTTTGACATTTTCAATAAATCCTTTTTTATCATGGTAATGCACGAGGGCAGTGCGCCCTTTTTTGCTTTCTTTTAGTTCTACCACTACTACAATGATTGCTGCTAGCTTCCAGGTCCCGCTGCCCTGCTGCTTATAGAACACAGAAGGTCATTTGCTCAGCAAAGTGTCATTCAGAGAACACATTTTTTTCAATAAATGCAAAGCATGCTCTGATGAGCTGGAGATCATAATGTCACTGTTTGGCTCTCTACTGCATGCAATCAGAAAACGGTTTGCAATCATTGAGAAGATGCAAAGTGTTTTCTGAATGGCACCCATGCGAAGCAAGCAACCTGGAAGCTAGCAGTGATCACGGTAGTAATAGTGCCTACTACAGTGATTTCCATGTTCCACTGGGATCCCAAATGTATGGTATATACATATTTACTTTGGTCCAAGCTGGGCCAATGTAACTATACAAAATTGTCATGCCTAAATGTCCAATTTAAATACCCTGGAATAATGGTGCAATAATCTCAGTTGCTTTGCTAAAACAACCAAGCTGGACCATTATAACTATACAAAAATATCCGTACCTGGAATTCCATTTTAAGAATGGGCATGAACAAATCTGATGATCTGAAGACTTGTTATAAGTCCTGCCTACCCTAAACAGCCCAGACTCCTGATGACGCTCTCACATTCCCTACTGTCATATAACACAGCAGTGTCCAACACAACATCAAGTACCTCTACAATGAGAAGCTGCTGGAATCCATCAAACTCTTATCAATGTCATTGCTTTGACAGGTTCACATGGATGCGTTGTAAACAACAAAGCAATATGGAACATCCATAATGGATGACAGTACCTTCGCAGATGCTGGATTTCAATTTTTCAGTGATATATCCCATGGAGCTGAAGTCATCAGCATGAATCACATGTTTGTCATGGGGAGCTGAAGCAATTTCCCGTAATTCCTCATCAATAGCCTTGCCCACACCAACAGCGTAGATGGTAATGCCTGAGAAGGAGACAAAAAAGAACACTGCATAATGACATCATGGACATTAAATCCACAACAACCTCCAAGTGACCTGAGCTGGCTACAGCCATCGTACAACAACAGCACGATTCCACCTCACTCACTGCTCCTATGAGGACCAGAGCTGGGACAGCTCAGTGCAGGTGAGGGAAGGCCGTCTACATTATTAGACACGGTAGGACCCTTGATGGATCGCCATGTGGTTTTAGTTTCTCAGATGTGTCATGCACAGACAACTTTTCTCCCTTATAGTCTGTCCAAAAATGTATTACATATACTATTATAACAACAATTTACACAGTGCTCCAAATACTGTACATTCACATCAGTCTCTGCCCTGCTGAGCTGTGAGAGTGCATACTGCGCATGCGTAGGTACAGAATGAAGCGTGCTTATCCATGAGTTTCCAGGGCCCTACATCTAATGCTACGTGCTGCCATCTGCACATAGAGAGAGGGAGGCCAATGAAATGAACAGCTGAAAAAGTAAGCTTTTTTTTTTAAACAGAGAACTGCATAGTAAATTACTGAAGACACTGTAATGCTTGGTTTTTTTTTTTTTGGCACAAGTCGGTAAATGTGAACTTATCTTTTAATTAGTGTACCAGGAGCACAAGCACAAAACAAGTAAAAAACATACAAAAACACAAATAAAGCCCATATCCACTTTTTTATACATGTACAGTTGTGTTCAAAATAATAGCAGTCAGACATCACTAACCTGATCAATCACTGTTTTTGGTAGAAATGATATTTCTACATGGCAAATAATTTACTAGCAGGTGTAGTAGAGTAATAGAAATCCAACAGACCCACCAGTCATGACATGCATGCTGCTGATTCTGTGTAATTGAATCACTAATTGAAAGGGGCATGTTCAAAATAATAACAGCGTGGAGTTCTATTAGTGAGGTCATTCATTCTTTGAAAAACAGGTGCCAATTATTGCCCTTATTTAAGGAAGGAAGGAAGCAAATGTTGTACATGCTGGTTACAGTGCATCTCTCTCTAAAATTCTGAGAAAAATGGGTCGTTCCAGACATTGTTCAGAAGAACAGCGTACCTTGATTAAAAAGTTGATTGGAGAGGGGAAAACGTATAAAGAAGTGCAGAAAATGATAGGCTGCTCAGCTAAAATGATCGCAAATGCTTTAAAATGGCAACCAAAACCTGAAAGACGTGGAAGAAAGCGAAAAACTACCATTCGAATGGATAGAAGAATAGCCAAAATGGCAAGGACTCAGCCAACAATCAGCTCCAGGAAGATCAAAGAAGGTCTAAAGTTCCCTGTGAGTACTGTTACAATTAGAAGACGCCTATGTGAAGCCAAGCTATCTGCAAGAAGCCCCCGCAAAGTCCCACTGTTGAAAAAAAGACGTGTGCTAAAGAGGTTACAATTTGCCAAAGAGCACATTGGCTGGCCTAAAGAGAAATGGCGCAACATTTTGTGGACTGATGAAAGTAAGATTGTTCTTTTTGGGTCTAGTGTCCGGAGAAAGCTTGTCAACGACCACCACCAAACACTGAATTCAAGCCACAGTACACTGTGAAGACAGTGAAGCATGGTTGCGCAAGCATCATGATATGGGGATGTTTCTCATACTACGGTGTTGGGCCTATTTATCGCATACCAGGGATCATGGATCAGTTTGAATACATCAGAATACTTGAAGAGGTCATGCTGCCTTATGTTGAAGAGGAAATTCCCTTGAAATGGGTGTTCCAACAAGACAACGACCCCAAACACACCAGTAAACGTTTTAAAAATCAAAAATGCAGCGCTACAGAACCAAAATATTTAAATGAAGGCAAATGAATGATTCAAATGAATGAATGAATGAACCAATAAATAACTGAATAAACGCAACAGTTCATGAAATAAGGTGACTTTTAGTGTTCTCCTCTATGTCCTGTCCTGATGATGCTCAGGCGTTGTGCAAAATAGTGCTGAAAGAATGCACACTCACCAGAACGCACAGGAAAATGAGCGTTTTATCAATATATGTTCCCCTTAGAGTCATCAGCTGGTGAGGATAGGGTAGTATGCTGGCCTCCCTTCAGAGCTCCTGGATAATCCTGTGTGATCCCTTGGCAGGTAGCCTATGGACATGCGTTCCTTACCCAGCGGAGAGATGAATGACTGTAAATAAATACTCCCCAAGGGAGTCAAAACAAGGACGCCTCCATAGTGTAGTAGGTGATTAAAAGAGGGTTTATTAACAACTCAAGCATCCGAGATACACGGCAGTGTATATAAAACAACGGACTGACCGTCCACTAGTAAAGATGGCCGCCGGAGCTCCACGATGCTTCGGCGGCGCGACGTCACGGCGTTCCTGGCTCCTCCTACGCGTTTCATGCACACGCACGTCGTCTGGGGGGATTTGCCAAATCCACGATGCTTCAGCGGCCATCTTTACTAGTGGACGGTCAGTCCGTTGTTTTATATACACTGCCGTGTATCTCGGATGCTTGAGTTGTTAATAAACCCTCTTTTAATCACCTACTACACTATGGAGGCGTCCTTGTTTTGACTCCCTTGGGGAGTATTTATTTACAGTCATTCATCTCTCCGCTGGGTAAGGAACACATGTCCATAGGCTACCTGCCAAGGGATCACACAGGATTATCCAGGAGCTCTGAAGGGAGGCCAGCATACTACCCTATCCTCACCAGCTGATGACTCTAAGGGGAACATATATTGATAAAACGCTCATTTTCCTGTGCGTTCTGGTGAGTGTGCATTCTTTCAGCACTATTTTGCACAACGCCTGAGCATCAGAAGGACAGGACATAGAGGAGAACACTAAAAGTCACCTTATTTCATGAACTGTTGCGTTTATTCAGTTATTTATTGGTTCATTCATTCATTCATTTGAATCATTCATTTGCCTTCATTTAAATACTTTGGTTCTGTAGCGCTGCATTTTTGATTTTTATTGTTTTAAGGGTGTGTGGTTACCTGATGTACAGCTGCTACAAATAGGTGCGCTCGTATACATATTTCCCTTTTACACCAGTAAACGTGCAACATCTTGGTTCCAGACCAACAAGATTGACGTTATGGAGTGGCCAGCCCAATCCCCGGATTTTAATCCAATAGAAAACTTGTGGGGTGACATCAAAAATGCAGTTTCTGAGGCAAAACCAAGAAATAGAGAAGAACTGTGGAATGTAGTCCAATCATCCTGGGCTGGAATACCTGTTCACAGGTGCCAGAAGTTGGTTGACTCCATGCAACACAGATGTACAGCAGTTCTCAGAAACAGTGCTTATACAACTAAATATTAATTAAGTGATTCAAAGGAAAGCAAAATCTTCAAACATTTTTCAGTTTATATAGTGAATGTTTGAGTTTGTAAAGAAGAATACAAACACTGCTATTTTTTTGAACAGTCTAATATTCACTTTTCTTCAATTTTTTTAGGGCAACAACACAAATTTGATATATTTTTCTTCATGTTTTGATTTGGAATAGAATGTGTAGTGTTCCCAATGCATTTGTTTGTATGGAAATAAAAGCTATTAGAAGGATTTTCAGCTTTATTCACTTTTTTCAACACACTGCTATTATTTTGAACACAACTGTATATACTATTTTTGGTTTCAAGAACCTAGTTGATATTAGTCTAAATTTTGGCTGAGATATGGCATTCCAGCACATCCTGTCTCTGAATCTGGGGAGAATGCACTATACCAGAAATCTTCAAACGAAAGGCCAATTTACTGCAATTCAATTTTAGGGGGGCTGGACTGTGGCCAGCGGGAGTAGAAAATGCCCTGGCATTGGTGGGAATAAACAATGCCATAGGCTTGGTGGTCAGTGGGAGTAAAAAAATTACAATATTGGTGTCAGTAGGAGGAATGGTGCCTCATCATTGGTGTGAGTGGGAGGAATAGTGCCCTATCATTGGTGTCAGTGGGAGGAATGGTGCCTCATCATTGGTGTCAGTGGGAGGAATGGTGCCTTATCATTGGTGTGAGTGGGAGGAGTAGTAGTGCCCCATCATTGGTGGCAGTGGGAGGAATAGTGCCCCATCATTGGTGTCAGTGGAAAGAATAGTGCCCCATCATTGGTGTGAGTGGGAGGAATAGTACCCCATCATTGGTATCAGTGGGAGGAATAGTGCCCCATCATTGGTGTCATTGAGAGGAATAGTGCCCCATCATTGGTGTCAGTGAAAGGAATAGTGCCCCATCGTTGGTGTGAGTGGGAGGAATAGTGCCCCATCATTGGTGTCGATGGGAGGAATGGTGCCCCATCATTGGTGTCAGTGGGAGGCATAGTGCCCCATCATTGGTGTCAGTGGGAGGAATAGTGCCCGATCTTTGGTGTCTGTGGAAGGACTAGTGTCTCATATCAGTGGAAGGATTAGTACCCAAAGGGCTGGATAAAGGCAAACAAAGGGCCACAACTGGCCCATGGGCCGTAGTTTGGAGACCCCTGCACTATACTAACACATCATTTCTACACGTGTGCCTAAAGAAAAAGTGTAGTTACTAATGAGTCTTTTGACTGGCAGCAGAATTCTAAAAGACACATCCGCACTTATCAAGCACCCCAGGATTCACCTAGAAAATAGAGGAATCAATATGCAAATAGAGAATTTCCAATTTTTCTTTCAGCAATGTATAGTTCTCTGATGCCCAACTTTCGGGCCATGGGCCACATGTGGCTCTTTAATGTTTGAAGTACAGCCCTTGTGCCACAACAGTCTGTAGAAGGAGCATTGGTTTGTAAAGGGGCCCTTAATAGTATTAGCAAAGTATAATAATGTCATGCAATGTGTCCCTAACTTGACTGTCTCCTACAGTCTCCAACCAGTCTCCAACCATGCCTGAAGAACAATTGCTGACCATTTCATCCAGTCTGTGACAGTTTTCTGTACAGGTAATAAATACTTTATGCAGCCCTTTGAAGACATTAGAGGCCAAGTCTGAGGAGACCCCCTTTACCTAGCAAGCTGACAACCATTGGTATAATTACTCCATGGAGTGGCTAAAATACGCTGAAAGCTTGAAGTATGCTTGAATGTTTCCAACCATATTATGGTGGTTTAATTAAGGACAATATGAATTTTTGGCTTCAAGTTTCTGCACACTAAAAGATTTCCACAATGACCTTGGGTTGTGGATGGGTTAGGTAAATCTAGAATTGAAACATCATAATATTCAAGTCCAAAAGATAGGTTTATTCCAAATTGTATACAAAAGGCAACACATTATGGGGCCATACTCTGCAGGAGCAGGCTACTGACTGTTGCTGTGCCAATCCACTCACTGTAAAAAAAAATCCTCACCATGTTTTGAGTCCAAACATTTTCTTTCTTTCTTTGTTTTTTTCCAAGCCCTGATAAAGAGGGTAAGTGTACAATCCAAACTGCGTTAAAATTGGCTGTGTGTATAAGTGGGTGCTGCAACGACCGTCGGCTGGAACCGAACAGAATCAGCAAGGGAGAATGTCACCAGCACACTGAGTTTTTAATGAACGATCACATAGTTACAACAAGGCAACGTTTGGAGTCTCGCAGGACCCCTTCATCAGGCATGTAATGTCACATGTCTGATGAAGGGGTCCTGCGAGACTCTGAAATGTTGCCTTGCTGTAACTATGTGATCGTTCATTAAAACGTTTGGACCCATACTGGTGATCCTTGGTGTGCTGGTGACATTCTCCCTTGCTGATAAAGAGGGTGGCGCATAGCCCCCAAAATATGTTGGCTTTTATACATGCTGACATCTTTGCCTGATCTTCTTCCGGGATCTGCATCTTCAGCCATCTTGATTGGCTGGCCCAGGATGATGTAATTTCTGTGGTATTTCATCCTGGCACCCAGCAATTGCCAGGCCTACACACTAAGATGTGAATGCTTGCAGGCAGATATCGAGAGTCTCCTTTCCATGTGAAAACTTTCCTGCCAGCAATGATCTGTAAACTTGAGTTTAGTTCCACTTTAAATACATGTTTTGGATATATGACTTATAATGTATCAGAGCAATAAACAGCCAGGCCACTAGCATTTTCAGAAGCGGATCCGCAGCGGCCGAATGCATACTTTGCTCAGAATAGGTTTTCTTTTAAACAGCCCATTTTGGATACACTGGAGTTTAGTGCAGGCACAGCTATAGCTGGCTAGAAAATTCCCAGTAATATGTCCCAGTAGATGTTAATGTTTTACATTCTAGTATATCTGAATGACAGCTCTGTTCATCTATAGAGATTAATGGCAAGGGTAGAGCAGTAAGTAAGCAGTAAGTAGCGTTCAACTAAACTCTCTCAATCAGCATTAAAGGAGAAGTACAGCCAGGGGCGGACTGACAACTCATGGGGCCCCCGGGCAATAAGGGATCATGGGGCTCCTGTGTCCCTGCCCAAGCTCAAAAAAGCCTATGAAAAAGGTACTAGGGGCATCTCATAGAACCCCCTACTGACCCCGGGCCCTCGGGCAGTGCCCAAGTTTCCAAATGTCAGTCCGCCCCTGAGTACAGCCAAAGCTCATTTGGCTGTACTTCTCCTGTGGATCACAGGAGTGCAGTTCATTCTCCACTCCTGTGACCCATCCACCAACAGCGGACTTTAGCCCATCACTCAGCTGGTCCAGGCTGGGGAAAGATCCCGACTTTAAAGTGTAACGAAACCCACAACAGTAAAATCAGTCTGTATATGCAGTAAAGCATGCTTGTTATACTCACTGGGGAACCTAAGGGATTAATTATCTGTATTGAGTAAAAAGGCCACTTGATCCTTTCTTCTCTGCTCCTCCTCTTGTTCAAATATCCAAGTCTTATCTCCTGATAAGACAGACTGAACCCGTAGCCATTCTGCGAATGCAGTTTAGTGTGTATTGCTAAAGAGGCTTTTTTTTTTGGCAGAGTGCATGTGATCAGTGCAGGGCCAATCAGCACTGTCCAGACAGAGGTCAGGGGTTTTGATTCCCCCTAGAGCAGAAAGAAAACTCCTCCTACAAGCTTTAACCAGTGCTCTGCTAAGCACTGATAGAAGACACAAGAGTGTGCTCTAACTGCTGATGAGAAAAGGTATTTAGCAGTTTATATTTACTAAACTAATTGCACTTCCATGTTCTGTGTACTGTGGGAGACAAGATATAGTGGATGCAGGGTCCTGGGTTTAGTAATACTTTAAAGTTAGGATCCACCCAGATGCCTGGACCAGCACCTGACTCCTGGACCAGCACCGATCCGCCGAGAGCCTGAGCCAGCAGCTCCCTTCACCTCCACAGTCCCGTGAGCAGTAGGGGGGCGGAGCAGACAGCGGTTACTGACAGACCACTCTGCTCAGGGCAGCAGGGAGAACTGGGCGATCAGCTGTGTTTGATCACTCAGTTCTCATCCTTAGAGCCAGCGGCGGACAGATGCAGCACCAGATCGATGCTACATCCACCTAGGTAAGTATGAATTGAAAAAGAAAAAATATTCCAATACTTCTCCTTTAACTATTTTCAATCCTTATGCTGCTAGCCTTGGTAAACAGATAGGAAGGTATATTATATTTTCTCAAGATGGCCGCAGCCATAAATGCTAGAAGGGGTGGTTTCAAATCAATTTCTCAACAAAATAAAGTATGGAGACATGGGTGGATGGGGGAGTTTGCTCTGAATATTAAAAATGAATTAAATAACATTTTCAGTCTATGATGCTCAAATACAGTTTACTTCTGCTTTAAAGTCCTAAATACAACCTCTTCTGATCTGATTTTAGAGGTGCATGCCCTCCTTCTGTCATCCTTCCTTCACTACTCGATGGACAACTGGCACCTATCAAAAGTGTCTATTAGCTGTCGTGACGCCTGATAGTGTTACTGCACTGGAACAAGTCTAAGTAGAAAAGCAAAGATAAGGATGACAGTTATGAAGCCTCCTTGAAATATAGATGACCACTAAATGGATCACTGACTCTAGGTACACAAGTACAACACTTAGAATTTGGGACAGCATACAGGTGAAATTACTTTCAGATAATTACTGCATTAATAAATGTTGCCTTTGAAAAAACACTATGGTTTCCCTTAAATAGACCTCCATTTCATATTTTTCTACCAACCATAACAAAATGTTTTTTGCTTTACAAGTTCACTTTCCCGGAGCAGCCGAGTGAGATGATGTACACTATCATTTTCCATCCCAGGTGGCAGGCAGTGAGGCGAGACCGTACTGTATGTCATCATTAATCTACCATTGCCCTTGTGGGGAAAAAAAATCCTTATTTTAAGAGCTTGGCTGTCATTTTACAGGATTCCCATGAGTTTTGTGCTTTGAGTAGGCTTGGGGTAGATTTGGAAGTCAGAACTTTATAGAGCTCACAGGCTGCATCCATGTTCTAGGTCAGTAACTCACTAGTTAGTTTGGATCAGCATGGCAGCCTGGGCGCCTGACCTTTTAAAAATAAGTCAGCAGTGATGGCTCCCATTTGTCTATTTTCCATCCAGGCACCCTGGGGGGGGGGGGGGGTTGGCCTTCAGGTGTCTTTAGACGTGGCTTGGCAAAATCCCCTAAAAATGGGCTAAAAATTGTATACAAGTCAGTGGGTGGATAGAGCCTGCCTTTTACTTACACAAAACCATTGTGCACCATACAAACCTCTAGCCATTGACATCCTAACATCCATTGATAAGGAGGTCATCACACATTGTACAACATCCTTGTTTTCCCCTCACCTGCCTCTCTCCATCAGCATTGGGGTCACATTAGCTGAGTGAGGCAGAGCAACTGGGGGAGAAGAGAAACATTGGAATACTAGTCAGTACCAGTGTGCAAAGGTTTATTTTCTTAGAAAAAAATCAATCACCTTTAATATTGAGTGTCCTAGGTGTGTGGATGTTGCTGCAATGTGTAAAACTATTAGTTTAGTTTTTTTTTACAATTTAGAATGGGGTGCCTTAAGTTTGTGAACCATTTTAAGGAGTGCCTTGACTGAAAAGAGGTTGAGAAACACTGTTCTATCTGCAGCATTTTTGTGAATACTGTAGAAGGGACTATGTGGAGCCCCAGGAGTCATATGTGGCCTTTTGCCACTTATTGTGTGGTCCTTTGGCCCCCCTGTATATACAGTTGTGTTCAAAATAATAGCAGTGTGTTGAAAAAAGTGAATAAAGCTCAAAATCCTTCTAATAGCTTTTATTTCCATACACACAAATGCATTGGGAACACTACACATTCTATTCCAAATCAAAACATGAAGAAAAATATATCAAATTTGTGTTGTTCCTCTAAAAAAAAAATTGAAGAAAAGTGAATATTAGACTGTTCAAAAAAAAATAGCAGTGTTTGTATTCTTCTTTACAAACTCAAACATTCACTATATAAACTGAAAAATGTTTGACGATTTTGCTTTCCTTTAAATCACTTAATTAAATATTTAGTTGTATAAGCACTGTTTCTGAGAACTGCTGTACATCTGTGTTGCATGGAGTCAACCAACTTCTGGCACCTGTGAACAGGTATTCCAGCCCAGGATGATTGGACTACATTCCACAGTTCTTCTCTATTTCTTGGTTTTGCCTCAGAAACTGCATTTTTGATGTCACCCCACAAGTTTTCTATTGGATTAAGATCCGGGGATTGGGCTGGCCACTCCATAACGTCAATCTTGTTGGTCTGGAACCAAGATGTTGCACGTTTACTGGTGTGTTTGGGGTCGTTGTCTTGTTGGAACACCCATTTCAAGGGAATTTCCTCTTCAGCATAAGGCAGCATGACCTCTTCAAGTATTCTGATGTATTCAAACTGATCCATGATCCCTGGTATGCGATAAATAGGCCCAACACCGTAGTATGAGAAACATCCCCATATCGTGATGCTTGCGCAACCATGCTTCACTGTCTTCACAGTGTACTGTGGCTTGAATTCAGTGTTTGGGGGTCGTCTGACAAACTGTCTCCGGCCACTAGACCCAAAAAGAACAATCTTACTTTCATCAGTCCACAAAATGTTGCGCCATTTCTCTTTAGGCCAGTCAATGTGCTCTTTGGCAAATTGTAACCTCTTCAGCACATGTCTTTTTTTCAACAGTGGGACTTTGCGGGGGCTTCTTGCAGATACAGTGAGGTCCATAAATATTGGGACATCGACACAATTCTAACATTTTTGGCTCTATACACCACCACAATGGATTTGAAATCAAACGAACAAGATGTGCTTTAACTGCAGACTGTCAGCTGATTGTTGGCTGAGTCCTTGTCATTTTGGCTATTCTTCTATCCATTTGAATGGTAGTTTTTCGCTTTCTTCCACGTCTTTCAGGTTTTGGTTGCCATTTTAAAGCATTTGTGATCATTTTAGCTGAGCAGCCTATCATTTTCTGCACTTCTTTATATGTTTTCCCCTCTCCAATCAACTTTTTAATCAAGGTACGCTGTTCTTCTGAACAATGTCTGGAACGACACATTTTCCTCAGAATTTCAGCAGCCAGTATGTGCAACATTTGCTGCCTTCCTTCCTTAAATAAGGGCAATAATTGGCACCTGTTTTTCAAAGAATGAATGACCTCACTAATAGAACTCCACACTGCTATTATTTTGAACATGCCCCTTTCAATTAGTGATTCAATTACACAGAATCAGCAGCATGCATGTCATGACTGTTGGGTCTGTTGGATTTCTATTACTCTACTACACCTGCTAGTAAATTATTTGCCATGTAGAAATATCATTTCTACCAAAAACAGTGATTGATCAGGTTAGTGATGTCTGACTGCTATTATTTTGAACACAACTATATGTGTATATGATCTTATTACCTTGTGAATCCTTAGAAAGCCACTGCTCCAAGCCTTCACTGGTGCAAATGTGTTGGGTGCCGGTCTTGGAGCCCATCCACACTTTATGTGAATGTACCAATAAAGAAGAGGCTGCACATCAATGATGTCACTCATCTCAGTGGGGTATATTCAGCCAAACCAACAATGCAATGCTCTTCTCTGACATGTTTCATAGAGATGATGTTTAACCCCATACAGGTGAAAGGGTCACGGAGGGACGGTCTACAGGCAGGGACAAGTTGCTTTGTTGGTATGGCCACATAAACTTTATTGAGCCGAGTGACGTCATCAGTGTGAGGTTTTCTCTTTCTTTATCTTTTTACAGTACCTGGGTTTTTACTCAGGCCAGTGAATGTAAACTATTATTTTACAGCATCCTAATATACTTCTTTTACACCATGTCACTTTTCTTCTGTGGTCTTTAGCTTTTCCCTTTTTTCCCCCAATTCTTTTTAATGGATCTTGTTAAGAGAAATATTAAATGTGGCACTTGGAATAGACTTCCAGCAGAGGTCAGTCAACAGTAAGTGGATCCATACATGCTTTTAACGAACCTAGATCTATACTCAAAGACAGAAAAAGTTAACAAATATAAAAAAAAAAAAAAATACAGAAACGTGTATAAATTAAAAAAACAACAACAAAGAACAGATTCGATTGACCACTTAGTCTTTTTTCGGTCATCACTTTTCTATGTTGTATGGGAGTTGTAGGGAACACACATGTGGAAGCATTGATTTGTAGAGGGCTGTTATCTCTATCAGTCTCATGTAATGTGTTCAATGACATGCTGGTAGGTGAATTGGCTCCTGTCTAAACTGGCCCTACTATGTGTATGTTTGAATGTGAGTTAGGAACAATAGATTGTACACTCCTTGAGGACGGGACTGATGCGAATGTATACTATGTGTAAATTGTCAGCGCTATATAAATACCTGTAATAAACAAATAAGTGTGTCTCCTGAAGTAACTCCCCAGTAATGAAAAACTTGAAGAACACATCTGTAGTCTCTGACCATCTCTTGCTGCTTTCCAATAGCCTTGACTGTCTCCTGTAGTACAGTCTGCTTTCTGTAGCATTACATCCCTGGTGCCCATCCTACGGCCAAAGGGCCACAAGATGGGCACCTTGATTTATGATATACGGCCCTCAGACCTCAGCAGTTTTTTTAGAGGGAACATTAATTAGGGTAATAGCACTGATCTTTACTAACCTCATGTCACAGGTTTCCAGTTCCTATTGCCTTCTGCAGCATATCCCCAGCCAAAAATGTAGCATGTCCACAGTCTCTGACCATCATTTCCTCTATTAGGTCTGCAGTTTCTGACAGTCCTTTCAAGCATTTCATATATTGCACATTATGTACAGCCCATGGTGATGTCAGGGGCCACATTTGAGGCCCCCTTTAGCTCATAAATTGACAACTACTGCATTACATTCACTGGATATTATGTGCGGCCCTTTGGTGATGTCAGGGGCTGACCCTGAGGCCTCCTATATCAAGGAAATTGACTACTACTTATATAGAGACCATGTTGCCCTTGGAGCACTAGAAATATAATGCAATACCTTTTGATGAAAACAATGTTACATTAATGTTGTCACCAGTACAAAAAACACAATATGCTGTATGAGGAAGCATGTGTTCTCTTTAGACAAAGATACCACTGAACGATGAAATCCACCAATTAGATGAGCAACTATCATCACATGACAGAGAAAGATGAGATGGTAGTATTGTATTGGAGTTACAGTGATAAATGTGACTCCACAGACCAGGCCCTGTTACCAATCCATCCGTCAGTTCTGACTCCACTAATAACAAAAGGCAAAAATAGTTGGAATTGAAGGATGCATTGGTAACAGGTATGTGTATATTATATGTAACATAGTATGATAAATATTGTAGAATGGTGCTTGCTCCCCCTTCCTACCCTCCTGTCCTTGGTGGTGACCCATTCATGCTTGACAATACATACAGCCACGTCTGTAACTACATAAGCAAAAAGTGGAAAAGATGAAATCATACTAAAGAGAACACAGTCATTGATAAAAGGAAAGCTATCTTACCACTCTGTTTCGCTCTGCTTGCCCAGTCGGCTACTTCATCCTGTGCGCGTCCATCAGTAAACACAATGGCCACTCTAGGGACACCCAAGGAGCGTCGTCTGGCACCCTGAACCTCTGAGAAGCTCTTCTCATACATGAGTTTCAGGGCCAGTCTCATGGAGCCTCTGCCCATGTATTTCATCTGGGTGACGGCTTTCTTCATCTCTTTGGCTGAGCTGTATTGAGCCATGGTGAACTCTGTGCGGACATGGGTGGAATATTGTACCAGACCCACACGGGCGGCTTTCTGTGAGATCTCTAATGAGTCTAGTATCCCATTTACAAACTGTTTTACAATTTCAAAGTTGTCTTCGCCAAGGCTCTTTGATCCGTCAATGACAAATACTAAGTCCACAGGTCCTTCTCCACACCCTGGAAAAATCAGAAGACAAATTATTGGTCTACTTTTGGAATGTACATCTGAAGCCCTCTAATTATATGCTTGTTTACTATATTTGCTTCTACTTTTTTTTAATAATGTATGTTATGCGGCTATTGTTTAACTAGTAAGTGCAATATCATAACCTCCCTCTAGAGTGCGCTGCTGAGACACATATCAAGCCAGAGATCCTTTATTGTGCAACTAAGCTCACTTAGTCCAAGTAAATATTGTATCCTTTTAAAGGTAAGTGGTTAACACACATTATGATAGCATTCAGTAATAGAATTCTTTTTTTTTTACAAACCGATATTTATATTTTTTTCACATTTACATGCAGACCGAACTGTCTAGCAAAGGTGACAATGACAGGGATTGGGACAAACCAACACACTGCTAGAGGTGATTAGCAAGGGTTTAAAAAATATATTAAATATTGGGCTGTTAAGGTGGAACTAAAGTTAACAAATTAAAAATGTGCGTGTTATGTAGTTTCTGTAATAAAATATGTACCTGCCTGTTCAGAATCTTCTTTAGAATGTACACTTAGATTGTACGCCCCGTGGGGGTTAGGGACTGATGTGAATGTACAATATATATGTAAAGCGCTGTGTAAAACTGATGGCGCTATATAAGTACCTGAAATAAATAAATAATAAATACACTGAGCTGCACATAGACAGCTCAGTGTACGTTCTCAGTACACCTTGGCACAGGAATGAATGAACTCCCAAGCACATGTGCAAGCCTTACATCATTCAAGAAGGAAAAGACCTTACACACTTCCCATTGCTGGAGCAGAGGTAAGTGTTTGCAGAGTTCAGTTACACCCTGTTCACATTTGGGCGATTAGGATTAGCGGGCAGAATTGGTGCGATTCTGCCGGCAATTCCAATTTCCATGTATTGATCTTGGGTTTGTGGTTGGGTGCTGAACCGCATTCATCCTGAATTGCACCCCATATGAGGTGTGATTTTGCTGCAAATGTTGCTCAAAAGAATGCAAGTGTAAAACCCTCACCTGGCTCAGGCCCAAAATTTGGTCCCTGAGCTTCTTTGGCGTGACAAACACGCATAGAGTAGCTTATTCAAGTGAATGTGCTGGCCTATGCACATCACGGGGGAATGCGCTTTTACAACTGCGAATGGGAACCTGTGTTCTCACTACGCCTTAAAGGATTGATGAAATCTGGCATTGCAGCTCAACCTTGTAAAACATCATTACCTGCTGAAACCATTTTCATGTTTCTGGTTTGACCAATAACAGGAGACTTCCGTTTTTTTGCGGACTTTGAGGAGGTTTCATGTTGCTACACAGATAAGTCTAATCAAATAGCGATTTTCTATATTTCTCACAAATCACTGTATGCACTCCTGGCAGCGTTATAGTTTTGTCCCATCTGCTGTCATGCGGCTCTGAGGAAGAGGGTTACCGTCGAAACGCGTCAGACGGATTTGGCCCCTAGATGGCACTTCATTGACATCTTGTGACTGTCTATCTATATGTGATCTGTCACCACTTGTTTGTGAGTATAATATTTTATCCATGTTTTAATAAACAGTTATCTGGGATAATGCACTAGGTCAGTGCGCTCTTGTTTTATTCCTTCTGCTGTCATGGTAAGGCTGGGTTTACACCGAAGTTTGAGGCTCCTCTGAAAAGTGATCATTTCTCATAGGCGTTGAGGAGACCATTAAAATGCTCTCTCATTGCACCATCACTATGTGCATCGCACAAGGCTGCAGGGCGGTTACAGCAATAGGCAGGGGCGGACTGACAACTCATGGGGCCCCCGGGCAATAGGGGATCATGGGGTCCCTGTGTCCTTGCCCAAACTCAAAAAAGTCTATGAAAACGGTACCAGGGGCATCTCATGAGGCCCCCTACTGACCCTGGGCCCTCGGGCAGTGCCCGAGTTTCCAAATGTTCAGTCCGCCCCTGGCAATAGGTCACATTCAGCAGTGGTATTGCTCACCGAACAGGACACAGGGGATCGTTTTTGACATGGCTGCAATCCTTTACTCTGTATGTGTACACCAACCGTCCCGCTGCTTTACCGCTTGGGAACGGGGGCAGTTGGAAGGTGGTAAAAACGAGGCTTGACCATGTTCTTACTTTTGAAAAACAGCAGATTTACTGGAGGTGAAAATAAAGGAAAAAAAACATAAAAAAAAATGAATGCAGCCACCACATCTAAGAATTGATAAGCTGCAATGTAATAAATGTTTGCTTTTGGGTTTAATACCACTTTAAATTGGATCTATCCTCAAATATTACCATAAAGCTAAGTTAAAGCTGAACTCCAGGCAGATATACACACATTAGTAAAGCTCTGTATTCATCATTAAAGTGTTACTAAACCCACAATCAGTCTGTATATGCAGTAAAGCATGCTTGATATACTCACCGTGGAACCTAAGGGGTTAATCCTCTGCATTGTGTAAAAATGCTGTTTGATCCTGACTTCTTTAATCCTCCCCTTCTTCCAGTGTTATTATGTCTTATCTCCTGATAAGACATATTGTGTGGAGACTCTGCACATGCTCAGTTTGGTGTGTATTGCTTGAGAGGGTTTTTTTTTCTTGGGAGAGTGCATATGATCAGCACAGGGCCAATCAGCACTGTCCAGACAGAGATCAGGGGTTCTGCATCCTCCTAGAGCAGAAATAAAACTCCTTCTACAAGCTTTAACCAGTGCTGAGCTGGGCACCGATAGAAGACACAAGACTGCTCTAACTGCTGATAAGAAAAGGTACTTCGCAGTTTATATTTATAAAAGGGCCCTCCTAACCCTGAACTGTATTGTTGCTGTATTGTCTCCCACTATAATGTAAAGCGGTGAGAAAACTGTTGGCGCTATATAAATCCTGTATAATAATAAACTAATTGCATTTCCATGTTCTGTGTACCAGATATAGGGAATGCAGGGTCCTGGGTTTAGTAACACTTTAAATATATTTTTCTTAAATGCATTTAGTGCAGCATCTGATAACTGGATTCAGCCTCTTGCAGTCTCTGTACAGCAGAACTCAGACAGGGAATGGGAAAAGCAGCACAGGGAGCCAATCAATGGTGTTGCAGTGCTTATATGTACTATAATCCAGAGCATGCTGATAGGAAGGGAGAGCAGAGTGACAGAGAAGTGAGCTTATCAGTCTGCTGCTTTCCCTTTATGTCCAGTCACTGGCTGGGGAGGGTCAAGACCTATATTAGTTCTCTGCAGCACAGAAAGTCCAATGCTTCCCCAGCCAGACAAGGCTGAGTGGTGTGTATGAGCCGTGGACAGAAATACAATCCTTTGGCAGGTAAAACAGCTCCCATGTGTTTTTATTTGTATATTCAGCTGGTTTCCTGACAGTCTTGCTGGGATGGATAAAGAGTGAAATACACCAGAAAATGCTGCTCCAGGCGCTCTCTCTCTCTGTACAGAACCACTCATCAGTTTCTCTGCACAGTAAAGCTCTCATTTTTCTCCTCTCTCTGCATAATTATGTTTTCCCATTCATTACACTTATAAACACAGAAGATCAATAGCAGATAAAGCCCGAGTGGTCCATCTAAAATTAATTTAGGTGGGAATACAAGTCACTGAGTTATTGGCAAGTTAACTGATGCACACTAATGACGCTCCTAAGTTTGATCTGGGCACCTAGGTTTCAATGATCTCTGGTCATGAAAGGGTAAAGAAAATAAAACAACCTGCTTGTATATGTAGATCTATTTTCTCATAATGTGTGAAACATTTGTTAAAAAATAGACATGCCACTTGGCAATGTAGCAGATGTTGCACCTAACATCAACACCCTGGATGAGACTGCATTCTCTGCCAAAACATTACAAGTTATGTCTCCAGCTGTGAGAGTGACAAATCCAGCAGCCGCCTTCTTACCCAGGAAAAGAGTCAGAAGAGTCAACTGTGCAGAGCATCACCGCTCATCCCCCTCTACGGACCAGACTCGTAATGAATGATCCCTCCCGGCCCCAATGTAATCATCGCCAATGCTTGCCAAGCTTTATTCAATCATATAGATTCCTTGGTTCGCCAGAGCATTAAGCTGGACACAGAAACGGATTATGCCTCTAAAATTTCTCACCAACTGTTCCGGCCTGATTTGTATTCTTTGTGTCGGCTGATTTGCTAGCGCAGACAAATCCTATTGTACAATTTGTGCTTAATCACTTCCTGGGCTTTAACGCTTTCTGTTCTTCAAGTAAAGGTCATACTCATGTATAGGGTGGAAGCGCTGAATCTGGGAACCCCAAGAATTGGAGCATGTGGAGAAGTCCCCTATTCTCCAAAGCTGGATGGTCAGGGATTACATCTTCCTGATCATCCGACTTCGAGGAATAGAGGACCATGTAAGTACAAATAACTTTCAAGACCCCAATTCCCCTTGATATATTGGCTGCAAGTTCCTAAAAGAGACATTTCTTGAACCTATAGCAGCCACCACGAATAGCAGACTGCATCCAGACCCGGACCAAGTGCCCGTACTATCCAGACCACCAGCCAGCCAGTCCCCAGTGCAGGTTTCCCCCCACTCCTCTTCAGTCATTGGTTGTGATGATTGTCGGCACTCCAACAACTAGGGATTTCATGTGCGTGCCCCGCCCCAGCATCACAGAAGGATGGAAGTGGAACTTACTGTGTCCAGATCTGCAGCCTGCTTTGCTTCTCGACTCCCTCTGCCTGTCTGTTAATAATCTGGGCACTGTGATGAGGGACAACTTATATAAGGGGGCACACTTAAAGGGACATCTGATGTAAGGGGGCACTCTGATAGGGAAACCTGATGCAAGGGGGGCCCCTGATGTAAAAGGGCACTCTTATAGGGACACCTTATGTAAATGGGCACACTTAAAGGGACACCTGATGTAAGGGGGCACTCTGATAAGGACACCTGATGCAAGGGGGGCCCCTGATGTAAAGGGGCACTCTTATAGGGACACCTGATGTAAGGGGGCACTCTGATGAGGGACAACTTATGTAAGGGAGCACATTTAAAGGGACACCTGATGTAAGGGGGCCCCTGATGTAAAAGGGCACTCTGATAGGGACACCTGATGTAAATGGCACTCTGATAGGGATACCTGATGTAAGGGGGCACTCTGATGAGGGTCTATTTTTTGGAAGACATACAATGACATACCGTATCTTATCTGTGTGATAGCACAAACATGAGATGTGGACCTCTGCTGGAAGAACATTTGACTGATTGAACTTCCTTTCAATTCAATACCTTGCCCTATAGGAATGGTCTTCATCTCTTCAGCTGTTGGAGAAATGCCTATAGTTCTACAGGGGGTGACACATTCTAATAGAACAAAGGAAAGGTTTTCTGCAAGTTATGGACTTGCACAGCCCTAAATCTGAAGGAAGACCACACAGGCCAGGCTAGGTACTTAGTTTGTAGGTGTGTTATTATATTTTATTATGTTTTCCAATTTGTCACTGGCATAAGAATTCATAGTTTGTTTTCTCATTTGTCTCATTGCCAACTGATGTTAGCAGCATGAAGTAGAATAGCACTGTAGCTTTTATTTTCAAGGACCATGCACATGGAAGTTTTTAGGCTGTCATAAAAGGGAGGAATAAAGATGGAGAGAAAATTACATTTTTCTTCTACTTTAGTCCACAACCCAATGTTCCTCAATATCTAGCTGGCTACAGACAGTTGTATCAGTAACACATACATCAAACCCAAACCTCCAGTATTTTCTGTACTCACTTTTACATCGTTTTCCATCTTCCACTAAATGGTATCCTTCAAAGCATTTGCAGACATAGGAACTCTCATTATTGACACAGAGATGCTCGCAGCCATGTTCAGAGGTTTTGCAGGGGTCTTTACCTATGGGATAGAGTGCATGATCCATAATAAAATATTAGATGACCAACAAATACACACAGTATGTAATACTTTCCTATTTCCTGCCAGCTTTATTTTTTTATTAAATTTATGATATGATGGTCTCTGGTAATAGACAATTTCTTTCATTAAAGTTATATATAAAAACTCCAGAAAAGATAATCAACTTGAAATTTATCTTATCCTCATGTCAGGGATCTCCAATCTATGGCCCACTGGCCAAAACTGGCCCACTACAAGACTTTTCCTGGCCTGGAGGAACTATTATAATACACATCTTAGCAACCAGTGACGTTATTGCACTGCCCCCTGCATTTACAGGAAGAGCGGACTCTCTGCATCCAGACCTGCTTTGCCCCCTGCTGCAGTCTACTGGATGCAAAGGAAGCCATGATAGGCACTCCTAGATTTAAAGGCGACTCTGCTATGAACACCTAGATGTAAAGAGGGACTCCTTACACTTTTACATCAAGTACATGGGCACTACTTGATGTAAAAGTGACTCAGCTGGGCACTCATAGATGTAAGGGGGACTCTGCTGGGCACCCCACTCCTAGGTGTAAGGGGGACTGTGCTGGGCACGCCTGGATGTGAGGGAGGCTATGATGGCCACTCCTAGATTTAAGTGTGGATTCTGATGTGCATTCCTAGATCTAAGGGGGACTCTGCTCTGCACTCTAAGATGTAAAGAAGGACTCTGCTGGTAACTCCTGGATGTGAGGGATGCTATGATGGGCACGCCTAGGTTTAAGGGTGGACTCTGCTGTGCATTCCTAGATCTAAGGGAGACTCTGCTCTGCACTCTGAGATGTAAAGAAGGACTCTGCTGGTAACTCATGGATGTGAGGGAGGCTATGATGGCCACTCCTAGATTTAAGTGTGGACTCTGATGTGCATTCCTAGATCTAATGGGGACTCTGCTCTGCACTCTGAGATGTAAAGAAAGACTCTGCTGGTAACTCCTGGATGTGAGGGAGGCTATGATGGGCACTCCTAGATTTAAGGGTGGACTCTGCTGTGCATTCCTAGATCTAATGGGGACTCTGCTCTGCACTCTGAGATGTAAAGAAAGACTCTGCTGGTAACTCCTGGATGCAAGGGAGGCTATGATGGGCACTCCTAGATTTAAGGGTGGACTCTGCTGTGCATTCCTAGATCTAATGGGGACTCTGCTCTGCACTCTGAGATGTAAAGAAAGACTCTGCTGGTAACTCCTGGATATAAAAGTGACTCAGCTGGGTACTCCAAGATGTAAGGGGGGGATTCTTTGTTGGGCACTCCTGGATGCAAGGGAGGACTCTGCTGGGCACTCCTAGATGGAGGAGGGGGGCTCTGATGGCCAATCCTGGAGCAGCAATGTGTGCCAGCACAGCTGTCTTAGCCAAGGGTGCATGTGACAAAATAATGATGCAAAAGCATAACTGGAAGACAACTGTCACCCCATAACAGAACGTTCCTTACTCAATGATCTTAATGGCAGGATCATCAGGTATTCTTTTAATAAAAGTGGTTATAAAGGCAGAACATTTTTTTACCCTCCGGCATTCTATTCAGGGGACCCAAGAGAATTGGGGCTGCTCTGTGCAAAACCACTGCACAGAGCAGGTAAGTATGTCAGTAACACGTCTGTTGTTTTAAAAACAAAATAGCTTTTATTATCATTTTAAAGCTGAAGATTTTAAAAGACTGAAAACTACTACTAAAAGCATGTTACATTTTAGTCATTGGGCTTAGATCTACTTACAACCTGGACTCCACCCTTATCTTCTGG